TATCTGTGTCTGACTTATTTCACTTAGCATAATGTTTTCAAGGTTCATCCATGTGAAGCATGTGTTAGAATTTCATTTCTCTTTATGGCTGAATAATATCCCATTGCGTGGATATACTACATGTTGTTCATCCCTTCATCTGTTGATAAACACTTGGGTTTTTTCCACCGTTGGGTTATTGTGGGTAAAGCTTCAATAAACGTTGCTGTAGATGACTGGACTCTTAATCTGCCAAATGCAGCTACACACACATTTGCTAATTGTTTCCTCCATGTGAACATGGGATGGATGATATTTAGTTAACAATTGGGACAAGGATACCAGTGGATGCACTGGTACCAAACTAATTGTTCTTCTGCCCTGCTGTGGATCCCCCTTCAGCTGCAGGGCTCTGTCTAGGAAACAGAACACAGGCAACTCTTTCCACTCAATGCTTTAGTCAGAGGAGAGGTGGTGAGGCCTACGCTAATGGCCATTGCCTAGTAATTTAGGATTCTACTGGCTAGGACTGAAAATGTATCTGGACTCACAGACATGCAATCAAATCAGCACGCACATGCACTAAAAGATTTCTTGTGACTCGTATACGGTCCCTGTTCATCCCTTATATTCATTCATATTTTTGATTGTTTTATTGTGGTAGAAATATATAGAACAAAACATTTGCCAGTTCAATCGTGCAAGTAAACAAAACAATTCTTTACTTGTACAATTCAGTACATTGATTATGTTTCACAAGTTATGCATTTATCACAACTGTTTCCAAATTATTCCACCACCTTTAACAGAAACTCAGTGCCCTGTAAGCAACCCACATACTCATTTTAACCTAACTTTAGCTGGTAAACCCCACTGAGTATGTGGGGGAGAGGAAGAGGGAAGCAAACATATAGCATCATCTGTCCTGGTCTAGGTCCCCCTGGGTACAACCTTGGGGGCAGTCAGGGAGGGTAGGAGAGAGACAACGGGTAGAAGGGCTTACCTCTGTCTCTGGGTTGTAGCAGTGGTAGTAGCCCCCAATAGCTTCTGCGAGGTTCTTTAGGACAGCCTGAAGGGGATGGTGACAGGGTCAGCCTCACTAGGGCAATCCCCATACCAAACAAACTTTCTCCTTGACTCAACCTCCCAACTATCCACTGATTCCCATTTGACCAACGGGAGAGCTAGTTGCAGGGAGAGGCAGAGGAGAGGAAGGAGCTCCATGTCTGGTCCACAGCCTTCTCCAGGAGTGGAGCTTCCAAGGCACCAAAGCCAAGGGAGACCTTGGAGACCCTGGGGCACTCACGGGGGGCACGTGACTGCTGCATTTGTAAGTGATGGCATGGATGATGACAGCCCTTCCCATGATGGCCTGCTGGATGTAGTCAGACAGGATTTCAGTGGATTGATTTGGGCTGGGAAGAAGAGGAAGAAGAGAAGGGGGGTCCCAGGTTAAATCAGTTTGAGGACATTCCAGAGAAAAACAGTAATTCTCAGGGGATGGCTGTCAAATCTAACTGACTACTTGTGTCCCAGGCCACCTGTGTAAGATGCTGGGCTGGGTGGACCCCAGCTTAACCTTCCCCAGTTTCCCTGTACCCGAGTGATGCTTCCTCCCCAATATCTGCACATGGGTGGCCTGTGTAAGAGACACTTCTCTCAAGCATGTGTGAAGAAGGGTCATGCCCAATGATCTTTTCTCAAACAATAGTTTGGTTCTCTGATCCCCTTCATGTAGTCCATCACCACTTAGGAAAGGAGACATACCAGCTGCCCAGTATGATCACCAGGGAATTCAGGCCTTTAATAGTGAAGACTTTCTTCAGGGCTTGTAGCATATCAGTGCCTCGTTCGGGCTGCACTTTCTTCACCCAGTGCTTGAGTTCCTGGAGGCTGGGGAGATAATAATGGAGAAACAACAGCAACCTAATCTATAGTCCTCTTTCTAGGTGCCAGACCCAGTAAGTGTCAGTTCATTAAGCCTAACAATAACTCTTTGAGGTGGGTACCACTATTCTAATTCTTGAAATGAAGACCTTCTGTCAGGTTGTCATATGGTTGTAGCTTGCATGTTGCTGTGACTCTGGAAGCTACGTCACTGGTGTTTCAAATACCAGCAGGCTCACCCATGGTGGACAGGCTTCAGCAGAGCTTCCAGACTAAGACAAGACTAGGAAGAAAGGGCTAGCACTCTCCTTCTGAAAACCAACCACCGAAAACCCTATGATCACAGCAACACCATATCCAACTCTCTTGCTTTGGACGTGTTCTCAGGAGGGATCAATCGCCAGGGGAGGGCATGAGGTTTGGTGAAGCAGAGGGTCAGCGAGGGTGAGGGGGACCCTGGGTGAGACAGATCGGCACAGCAGCCGCAGCGGTGGACTCAGCCATACTGGTGATGGTGGAGATGACTTGGGACTGGGTGACACTTTGGACTGTTTACATGGGGCCACCATGAATTGGAGTCGACTTGATGGCAGCGAACAAGAACAGAGATGGGAAACTGAGGGTCAGGGTTAGGTGACTTGCCCAAGATCCTAGTGCAGGTAACTGGTAAGATTGAGATTTCAACCTTGACTTAGAACCTGAGCTTTTAACACTCTGCTATTTGAGGGTCTAGGGCTGAGTGCCCCCTTCTCCGCCCTCACATACAACTCTCCTGGGTGCCAGACCTCAGCCTTAGTGTGGAGTTAATCTCCTAAGCCTACGAGGGCTCTAAGGGCTGGTGCTGTACAACTAGCTGCTTCCGGAAAATAACTTGACCAGGTACTCTCTCTGTTCAGTCCACTGCATGGCGCTGGGGAGAGATGCCTGCTCTTTCTGCTGACCAGAAAGCTGGCGGTTCAAACCCACCAGCCACTCCTCCGAAAGAAGATTGGGCAATCTACTTCCGTATAGATATCTCCTCAGAAACCCAAGGAAGGGTTGCTGTGAGCTGGAATTGACTGGATGGCAGTTGAGTTTGCTTGTTTTAATGATAAAAATATCTCAGCTTGGTGCTAATAAGTCCTTCTTTATTACAACCGTCAAGCCTCCCTTTTAAACTGACAGAGCACTATGCAGTACCCAACACACAGTGGGTGATCAAGAATGTTCTTCATGGAAAGAAACTTCTACTTAACTGGTCTAAGTAAGAAACTTCCTGTACTCTCCACTAAAAGCTGTTGTTGTGGTTAGGCGCCGTCGAGTTGGCTCCACCGCACAGCGACCCTATGTACAACAGAACAAAACACTGCCCAGTCCTGACCACCCAAATTATCTTTGCTATGGTTGCGTCCATTGTTACAGCCACTATGTCAATCCATCTCACTGAGGTTCTTCCCCTTTTCTTGCTGACCTTTTAATTCACCAAGCATGATATCCTTCTCCAGGAACTGGTCCCAAATAAAGGACTGGTTAAATACATTACAGTGCATCTACAGAGTGGAATACTACATAAAAACTACAACTCACTGCTGTTCAGTTGGATCCGACTCATACAGACCCCTCCTTGGGTTTCCGAGGCAGTATCACTATGGAAGTAGATTGCCCAACCTTCCTTCTGAAGAGTTGCTGGTGGGTTTGAACTTACCAGCTTTCTGGTTAACAGTCAAATGTCTTAGGCACTATGCCACCAGAGCTCTTGGAATACTATACAGTCATTAAAAATAACGAGGTGGTGGTTGTTGGCTGCCATCAAGTCAGACTTATGGTGATTCCGTGTACAACAGAACAAAATGCTGCCCAATCCCACACCATCCTCATGACTGGTTGTGGGTTGGATCATTGTGATCCACAGGGTTTTCATTAGATTTCTGAAAGTTAATCATGAGCCTTTCTTCTAAGCCTGTCTTAGTCCGGAAGCTTCACTGAACCTGTTCAGCATCATAGCAACACGTGACCCTCCACTGACAGATGGGTGTGGCAGCTGAGGTGCCTTGGCCAGGAATTGAACCTGGGTCTCCTGGGAAATGACAGTTCTACTACTGAGTCCCCACTGCCTCCAGAATAATGAGGTGGTTGTTGTCGTTATGTGCCATCGAGTCGTCTCCAACTCATAGTGACCCCTCCTTGGATTTCCGAGGCAGCATCTCTATGGAAGTAGATCACCCAACTTTCCTTCCGAGGAGTGGCTGGTGGGTTAGAGCTGCCAGCCTTCTGGTTAGCAGTCAAATGGCTTAGGCACTATGCCACCAGAGCTCCCAATAATGAGGTAGCTATGCATATATGGTAGAAAATGAGATTCAAGGTTTATTATTAGGTAAAAAAAGCCAAGGTGCAGAATAGGGTTAGGTGTTCCTGCCTATGTGTGAAAATAAATGAGGACAAGGACACAGCTTTAGCACACAGCTAAATGTGCTGCAGCCATGTGCATAGACTATCTCTGGAAGCAGATCTCAGACACTGTTGGTGTCTCTGAGAGGTGAGGTTGGGAGTATCTGGTCAGAGGGGAACTCACTTGCCATCATTTGTCCCTTTGTACCACTTGACTAAAAAGAAACCATGACCATGTAATATTCTCATAATGATAAAGCTGTCTTTCCTAGTTCACTGAATAGAAATGGCATCTGGTGGGCTGTTTTGTCTTTCATTGTGTGCATCATTCATAAGGGTGAACATTTCTCCAAAAGTTGTTGACTACCTGTGTCTCCCTTTTTGTGAACTGTGTCTTTGAAGGTTGGGCAATCTACTTCTGTAGTGATACCGCCTCGGAAACCCAAGGAGGGGTCGCTGAGTCAGGTTCGACTCAACGGCAATGAGTTTGGTTTTTGGTTTTGGTCTTTGTATGCACTTATCTATTGGGATCTTGGGGTTTGTATCTTGTTCACACAATGAAGATACTAACATTTTGGGAAGAAAATGAACAAATAAACGTCTTTGCTGAGGCAGGCTCTCGGGGTAGCCACTTACGTGGAGGTGCTGACTTCCACGGGGTCTGGCCAGAGCGCCCTGGTGGTGGTGCCGAAGGAGAGAACGTACAGCTTCTCCTTGCAGCTCAGCTGCTCATCA